TTTGATTTATCGAACTTAAAACGATATTTTTGTAACTAGTGCCCGTAGGGCTTCATTCTGGGCGAGTTTGAAGAAATTCGATTTTTTCGCTATTTCCAAGTCTAGTTGATATTTAGGCGAAGCTGCTCTTAATGCTCTACACTGACATTTATTCGCATTCCTCTTTGAATGGTAATTTTGTTGTTCCCTGTAATTTTCCCCTCATTCAATCTTTGTCACTCTCCGAATGACTCTTTTTAAGAAATTTACATTATGTATGGTCCCAAGAGAATAACTGTGCTTCTCATTTATTTCTAGGTTCACGTCCAAAGCTGGTGCTGTGTATGCCATCATCCTTGAGTGGCCGGCTACAACTAACCTCACTCTTGTTAATCCAATGGCGACCAATCACACTACAGTTACCATGTTGGGTTATGAAGGAAAGTTTGACTGGAAACCAGCAGGTGACAAAGGTGGTATAATTGTCACTTTTCCTGCCATCCCTATAAACAAGCTTCCTTCCAAATGGGCCTGGGTTCTGAAGATGGAAAACATTAAGTGAAATTATATCAACTGCTGTTAGATTGTAGCCTGGGGACTTTCATATTAACAGGATTGGATGCTCATCAGAAAATTTCAATAATACAATTATTAAGGAAACCAGTCAAGATGACTGGCTCAAGATTTGACTCCTGGAATGATACCATTCTAAAACAGATTAACTAATATATAAGATCAAGCTATTTATATGAAATGATGGTAATGATGTTGGCATTGAATGCTTTCATCTAGATGCACAAATATAAATAATTTCGTACCAGATCATTGTAAACCGCCAACTCAGTTAATGACGGCATGCAACCCTGAAAGATGCAATGATGGGTAAAAGCGTTGTTTTTTTGTTGTGAACACCTTAAGTGATAACAAATGCAAATTTACAACTTGAAGGAGACATTTACAGAGAGGATGAGCATCTTCACCCCTTTCAGATGGAAGCCCCATACCCCTCCAGGGATTTTACATTGTTCCTGCAAGTTAGAGAGCTTTTAAGTGACAGTTGTGAAACTAAACCAAGGTAATCGCAACTAACCAATTACAGCAAACGCTCCAATGAACCGATCAAAAATTGATGAAAAGCTGTACAACTCATGCTTGCTAAGAGTGGAAAAACATGTATAAGCAAAGGTACCGTTGTCTTGAAGTTTGCTTACATGTTTGCTATGATCGGTTAGCACGTGATTCACGAGGGTTTTTTTAACCTGAAGTATATATAGTAATTTTAATTACTATAAGCATTTAATTTTGCATTAAAAAATGCAAAATTATAGCAGGATTACATGTAATTGCTTTCAACAGTCAGTTAACAAACTTTTGAGACACGTGTCAGAAATTTATGGCAAATAGTAGAGGTTAGAATAATGTTTTTGTACTTGAATTAGATTTGATCTATTCATGGGCTTAAGTGCTATTACTACAAAGGGAATTGTACTGTGCGGTGAATGTTTATAAATATATATAAAATATATGGCGTTTTTAAATCAGCAAGTCGTGGTCTAAGTGATATGATATTTATCGAACAACAACAAAAACAACACACACACATTTTATTATCTTACATTCTGTATTCAGAATAAGAATGATTGAGCAGGCTAGCTCAGTGTTAAATAACTCTTTGTTAGTTCGAGGGAAAGCTTTGTTTCACGGTGTTCCTTTGATGTTATTTGACAAGTTGTACAAAACGTAAATATCAAGCGGTCTCGATAAACAGGAAAATGAAGACAGAAGTTTCTCGCCCAGCAATATTTTTGTCTATAGAAAAGTGTTTTGTAAGAAAGTCATTTTGAATTTACGTGGCCTTGATTACAAAACCCCTTCTATACTGACGTCATAACTGGCTTATTGACCAGAACTGTATTTTAAATGCACTGGTACATACATGTACATCTTTATCCACAGTTATTGGTAGTATTTTTGTAACTTGGGGTTTATAACTGTAAACTAGCCTTATAGATAGACTACAATTTATTAACGTATTTGTTTTGTAACAGATTATGCTGAAAATAAATAAAGGTATATTCAGTAATGAATAGTACAGTGTTGAAATACTCTTTGCGTCTTTGTGTAGGACCAAAGGAGATAGTTTCCACCTTCGGTTGTCTCTTTCGAAAACTACAACACTAGCATATGTAAGAGAATGGAGTTAGTTCTATAGTCACTATTCTTGTGCTTTTATTTGCATCGATGCGTCATACATTTACAGTCGAACCTGTATATAACGGCCACCCTCGGGACCTGAGGAACTGGCCGCTTGATACAGGATCACTAAGAATACTCACTGGGCGTGGTCTAATGATATGATACTGTACTTCAGCACATTGCGGACATCTGGAAAGCGTTAACGGACCTTAACGATACTAAATGGCCGATTATCAGCTTAAAGTAGCTTTGTACATGCTATTTCTTTATAGTGATGATGGACTGCATTTTAACCACAATAAAATACCGCAGAAAATGACGTGGTTTAGGCCCCTTAATACATGTAAAATAGCAAAGAGAGACAAACATAGGACTGCTAGAGGGCGGCCGCGGCCGTCTAACAGAGATACAGGTAACAAAGACAGCCTTTGTATGAGCGAAAAATCGGGACTTTGAAAACTGGCCGCTTAATACAGGGCCGTTTTTACAGGTTCGACTGTGCCTGTTTATCCAAATAGATTCCAAATGTTTCCATGCGTCTGTTCAGTAATTCATCACAGATGACGTGAAAATGTGGTAAGAACAGCAAAAGTGGCTCACGAGACGAGAGCCAAGTGTGTCACTGATGTTCTTACCAGATTTTTACGCCTTCTGTATGAATTACTGAACAGACGCACGGCAACAGTGAAGTATTATAACTATGAACAAATCAGTTTGGCTTCTGAACACTGGCCAAGTAACACGACTAAATATTAATGTAGAATACTATTTTAGCTAAAAAAAAATATGACATTTATGGGGCTGTTATCTTTATTGACCTTTATTGACTGTACAGAAATTGCGCACGCAAAGGCGGTAGCTACAATAGCCTGACAATAGGCTCTGGCTTATATACCCTGGTCCTAGAGGTTTTTCTTGATTTTTCATCTTTTCGAGAAGCGGCGAACACGAGTCGCGAAGCGGCGAGAAAGAATATGATTTTTTTCATTTCTTTCTCGCCGCTTCGCCACTCGTGTTTTCACCGCTTCGCGGCTCTCTCGCAGCTCTGTCATGAGGAGAAAAATCAAGAGGAGAGAAAAATCAAGAAAAACCTCTGCGACCAGGGTAGCTTTGGCTTGGTTTAATGTTTATTTCTGACTTTTATGTTTCTCTTTCATCACTATCACTATCGTCATCAAAACCAGTTTTTTCTTATACCAAAACCGTCCTTTTTTCTCAACTCAAAACTGATTTTTCCAAGCCCAATATTGTTCGTTCAAATCATGCACACACGTTTCCCTTTGTTGACATATATCTGTTGAGGTGGATATTTTTGGGAAGGGACTCACCGAAAGGAAACCAGCCTCGAATCAGTGACAATTCCAGTCCAAGACATCCTCGGAGACCCAGGGGCAGTTGGTTGGGTCGGGACGAAGTAAGCCCGACAAAATTGAAGTTGCTCTTCAATTTTTGCTGGGCCAGTACTCAGTGTTCTCGCATTTACTCTTTGTCCCGCCCCAACAAACTGCCCTATGAGCCGCCCCGCCCCCTGGACCCGTGAGATCTCCTAGGGATCTGGGATCAAATTTCTTTACGATAAAGCCCCGCTGACATTGCGAGACAGGCGGCTCACAAGACAAGTTTCTCTTGTTGCCGGAGACAGAGCTGAAAAACGACTGCGCATGCTCATTCGCGCGCGCCGAGAAACTGGGAAAGACAACATAAAACCATAGCAACGTATACCTAAAATGGCGGCATTTTTGAAAAATTTAAGAGCGCTGAGTTTTCGCTTGGGCTAAGGAGTAAGTAAAAAAGGTTAAGCTTGAAACTTTCCTTTCAGACCGGTCGATATTAGTTCTAAAACATATCTCCTGAACAC